CTTGACGTGTTCCCACTCGTCCCGCGCCGTCGACCGCAGCGTCGGGTTGGTCACGGACGGATTGATGTGGTGTTGATAGCGCGTGATGCCATTGTGGCGAAATGCTTCGCACTCGGTCCATGTGTCGAGGAGGACCGTCTTGGCCGGCAAGTGCTGGACCGTGTAATCACGAAAGAGCTTGCGAAGGACGGGGTTGCTTAAAATCCCCGTGACCGCGAATGGCGTCGCTGTGTTTTGGAGCTCGCACGTCGTGACTGTCTGTGGGGTACGTTGCATATTGTCTTTCATTGCGCAGACAAATCATACCTCGTCGACAATGATGATTTCGGCCTTGGAGAGCGCTTGGTTCTCGCTGCAGAGACGGATTTCCCGGTGAAGCGCGTGGATCCAGCCGACCATGAGGTCGTCGCTGGCGGCGCAGAGCTACATGGGGCATCGTTACATGATGGGAATCGCTGGAAAGAAAGACGAAAACGTACGCGGTAGACGCGGCGTGACGTGTGGAGTTCGAAACAGTGCGGGATTTGCTACACAAGACAATATTGTACATGTCATGTCCTCGATACAACACATGGGGCATACCACGTCGGCCTTGACGATGCACGAGTTGAGAAGCGGAATGGCGGTAATGTCGCGTTGGTTCATTTCCGATTTGCAGTAAAAGAGCTTGTCTTCCTACATGGAACTATTTATTCTCCTTTCATGACACGAATTGTGTAAATGCAAATGTGATACCTTGAGAACAAACCAGCGCGTGCGCCAGACATTGGCGTCCTTGAGACTCGCCTTCTTGAGCGTACCAGATCGAATTCCCTAATGTCACATTTCAAGATGGAAGTCGTGTTTTGACGCGCCGTCGTCGTCGTCGTCAGAGTACCTGGCCGAGCTTTTGGGGAAACGCAAACACTGTATCTTGCGAGTTGGTGTTGCTCGTACGCGGCTCCAAGTCTGCGTCCAAGTCGATCGGCTTGGCACGCGTGTCCTATCGTAAAATGTCCCTTTCAATTCGGGACTTATGTGCTAGAATAGTACCTTAAAGACAAATTTCAGCGTTTGGCGGGCGCGGTGACGGGGCTTGACGCGCACGGGGCCCATGTGATCCAGCGAAATCTCGGGCAGCGACTGTCTCTCGGCGTGGAATTGCTCCTGGGCCTGCAAGATAGACTCTTCGTCCTGCAGCGTCCGCGCCGACATGGACGAGCCTACACAGCAACGATCGCGTCCGTGGCAGCCCTCGCGACAGACAGACGCCTACCCTTGCCGCTGGCAAAGACCATGAGGATCGCATAGTACTCGAGCTGCTTGCGCGAGACATGAAGCTTGGTGGCCATGGTTTGGCGGACCTAGGTGCCAAGAAGGATGGGGCGGCGACGACGAAGAGGCGCAAGCGTACATCGCGCACGAGCGTCTGCTCTTCGACGCGGAGCACGGTCGAGGACGTAAAGTTGTCGCTCTCAAAGTAGATGCGTACAAAGCCTCGGCGGACAGGCGACGGCGCGCCGAGCTTGGCTTCGTCAAGGCCAAGGCCCACGCCGCCAGTCGCGTCGTCTATCCCAGAGAAGGCAATTCGAGGATCAGGAGGGGCATGCTGCAGGTGGGCTGGCGTACGCTGCTTGCGCAGGAGGCGATCGTGGTCCTCCTCGTCGTCCGTGTCGAGGCTCTCATAGACAGCGACGTCGGCTTCCTTCTTGGCCATCATCTGCATCGTCGGTCGGTCGAGCGATGCGTCCGTCGCCGCTGGTCGCGCGAACACCCAAAAATGAACACGGTGTTTCTGTCTTGCTTCGAGCGCGCGGGGATTGGCCGAAATCCTTGGCCTTTGGAACTTCGAACTTCGGGTAGCACCCAACCCCAATGGTGCCATACAAAAAGCAAGGTAAATACCGCGTAAGTGCGTTTCCAACGCCACACGGGTTGTGATTGGTCGCTGAAAATAAAAAACATCCTCGACGATGCCCATACCAATCTTGCAATATAAAATAAAATAGGGTTAATTGGGCAATAGAAGGGTCTTCAAGTGGGAACGACACCGCGGCCTCATAGACGCAGCTCGTCGTTCATTTCCACGTGCACAGTATTGTCTAGCATACCTTTCGCACCCTT